TCCGTTTTCTCCTCGCCCTCGGGAGCCGCGCCCTCAGTGAAGACAGGTTTACCTGCGTGAGTCAGTGTTCCGAGGCATTGACATCTACCTGTGTCCGTCGGGGAGGCGGCAGGTGTGCGTCTGGCCCCCTCCGCCCAGCTCTCTCATGGGCTGGACTGCGGGCGCGCTCCCCTTAAACGAGCTGGCCCCGGTGCTACTCTGATCTTGGGTAACTCTATCTGGTCATTCTTTTTCAGAATTTGTTTTGCAAGTTACGAATGTCTACCATCAGTTTCTTAACGTTCCCAAAGAAGATCATTACAAAACAAAGCTTAGTCATTACAAAGGTGACTGTCAGGCCAGCCGGTGGTGGGGTGGTTCGGGCGCGGGCTACCGCATGGCCGACTGTGTGGTTCGAATCCTGGACTCGGTGGCTTGAAAAACAATCTGGGCACGTGTGTATGCCCCAATTCCAAGAGGGTCATGGGAGAGAAGGGGTCCCAGCGGGCCATTCTCCGGGGCATCACCTTTTCACTTCCCCCCCCTCTATGAGCAGACATACCCCACAACAAAAATTTTTTTAATGATTTTTTTAAAAAAGAAGATGATTATATAGACTGGCAAAGCTTTTCCAAAAAATAAAAATGCAAGTAAAAATATCAGTGAAGGCATTGAACATAAATATCCTAGATTCTTGTAGTTAAGGGAATTTCTCTTACACACGGCAGACTGAACCTACACCTGAAGGCCCCCAACTTCTGATCAGAGAGGAAGGATGAAGCAGCCAAGATGGCCTCTGTGGAGAGGCGCCAAGGACGCACAGGGTCCAGACGGACCAGCAGCTCGCCCCACCAGGAAGCTAAGAGGCTGTGGAAGTGGACCCAGGGAATACAGCAGGATGGGGGAGGGCACAGGTGGCGTGGTGGTTAGGGCGGCCAGGCCCCACATGGCTGACTCTGGAACTCAGGCACAGACGGCTGTGATTGGCTTGTCCTGGCTCCTGGCTAGACTGGGGATCGTAATCCCAGAATCTTAAGGAATTTATAACCCATAATTTAAACAATATGTTACAGAAAATTGAACTTGGAAATAAGCTTCACAACTTATTTTACAAAGTCAGTTAATGACCTTGGTACCAAAACAGAACAAGTAAATTAGAAGCAAAGAAAATGGCAGGCTGGTTTCACGGGCGGATATCCACTCAGGGTCAGAAGTGGAACGCTGGCTAACGACCCGGTAGTGTGTTCCTAAATGAATGAAGCGGGCCAGTTACGTGACGTTTATCCCAGGGAGCAGGGCACCACCCACAGACGCCACTCCGACTCCTCGTTCATGAGAAGATAGATTGCTACCGTCTGTTACGGAGATGCAGACGGAGGAAGAGGTCCTGTGGCTTTCTCAGCCCCGTCATGGACTCTGGAAAGCTCATTGCTGTTCGCGTTGAAAACCGGGGAGAAAGACACCTGGCAGGACACCTGTAAGAGACGGGGAGAGGGCGGGACTGCCCGCTCGGAGCCCGGTGGACAGGAGGCTCGGCTTGCTGCAAGACCCAATCCGCAGAGCGCCGAGGTGGCCCAGCAGCAAGCCGACACGGGACCTGTGTGAAGGAGCCCTCGCAGATGGCACTTCCTGCTCAGAGAGCTGTACCCTCTCCGTGTGAGCAGCTGTGTTGAGGGCTTGCGTGCGTTGCCCGCTTTCTCCCGGGCCCCATGTGAGCAGCTCTCACTCAGCGGGTCGGCCCACCGTTTGTTCTAGGCCCTTCATCCACAGTACAGAAGTGCTCCCAGGAACGCTAGACCAAGTACGTGGCTGCCTGGGGCTGGGTCGAGCTGACCCTGCATTAACCCTCACAAAATGCAGAAATGTGGACGCACAGTCCCCACACGCCAAGCGTGGTCATCCGCCCCAGCTTCACTGATAATGACCTCTCCCCGGGAGCGAGCCAGGTCTGCCCGGTGGGCTCTGTGGGTCGGGCCAGGATCTGCTGGTATGTGACAGGACGAGGTGGGAAAGCTGGCCGGCTGGCGGATGGGGCAGAGGGCTCCGACCGGCGGCACGCAGAGAGTGTCACGGCTAATCTCTGAGGTTGGAAGGCAGCGTCCTTGTGACCTGAGGGGCCGCAGGGGTGGGGGCGGGATGCTGCTGGTATTTCGTGTTGTGGCCAGGGCCCTGATCAGAGTTTAATTTAGTGAGTTCACGGAGCGGGACTCACACCACTGTCCGTTCTGTCTGTATGCTTTCCTTGAACAATAGCAGTGTCACAAAAATGGGGCCACGGAGCCTGCTTTCACAGGTCGGAGCTGGGACAACGTGCTCTAGGGGAGAGCCCGAGCGTGGAGGCGGGGAATGGCATGTTTTAAACACGAAGGAAGCACGGGAGAAGTGCACCTAAACTGGCAGGTGAGAGCGGCCGGCGGCAAGGCTGGAAGTAACACCGATGCCGATTCCAGAGCGAAGGCTGGCAGAAGCCGGTGCCGACCATGTGACACCGTGCCGCTCGCTGCCAGGACCCCTGAGTGCCCTGCGCTTCCTGGGGGTGTGGGAGCATGGTCCACGGACCTGCTGGTAACTGGAGAGTACATATTAGCCCTGGGATGTCACAGCAGGTACGTGTGCTTCAGGCCGCCGGGAGTAACTGCCACGGCAAACAGCTACAAACCCAGGAAGGCTCCCGTGCAACTGATCACCTTTCCCACCATCCGGGGCCAGGTAGCAAACATCCCTGAGCAATGGCTAAGGTTCTGGTCTCTGGTATGTAGAAGGGGTCTCTGTGGATCTGTGTAGGTCTCCTTCTAGTTCTCCATCTCTCATAGGCAGCCTCCCTGGGAGTGTTGAAATTCCAGACTGTTATGCTTAGAGCCAACACCACCCGGCTGCCTTTCCCTGGATTAAACTGACTGTGAGTAGCTATGAATTTTCCTGGTCCCTGCCTTTTTGTTTGTAAGAGAGATTTTTGCTGTGGAGCATGTGCACTTGCCAGAGACAGAAAAACAGAAAGTGAGAAATCAGCCCCAGGGGGATGGCCACACGGCAATCTCTTGTTCTCCATTCTCCTCTCGGGATTTTGGACACGCACGTACATGCGCCCGGTGTGAGTTTAAGCTGCCGGGTCTGGACTCGAGCCATGGTGGACTGTGTGGGAGTCCAGCGACATAACCATTCTGCCATCTGCTGGTCCCTCTGGTCCCTGTCTTTGTGAGCATGGGCTTGGATTCGTTTCTGATATGTTTCATATCCAGTTTCTTTAAGCTGGGAATTGGAGTGAGGGCAGGGCCTGGGCAGCTTGGTCCACTCTACTCCCAGAATTCCATTCTCCTTTCTTCATTTACGACTAAAATAAACCAAATCTGATAGTTGGGAGTGGATACTCGTGAGCTCACTGCCCTGCTTTATTGGCACGGTGGAGATGAAAGTCCGTCTGCCCACACTTGCCTGGGTCCTGACCATGAGCCGTGTAAGCAGCTGTGTTTGCAGACCTTCGGAGCACGGGACCGCGTGAGCGCCACTGACCAGTGTCCATGGGGGCGTGGCAGTTCTGGGTTTCTGATCTCATGGGGCGTGGCTTACTTTGTGGGGTGTGTCGGTGCTGAGGAAGCATTCTAGTGGCAGGAGGGGGACCCCAATGCCTGTCCTCCAGGGAAACGTGAATCCCCTTGGCCCCTGTGGCTCCCACCCTCGCCCTTGGGGACAGGAGGCAGGGCTCGGAGATGCCTGCAGGGGTGTAGGATGCCAGAGCATTCGCAGGGCCAGAGGGGGCGCCCGCCCAGACTTCCAGCCAAGCTCCAGGCCCCTGTGTTATGTCCCTGGGCTTGTTCCTTTCTCCCTCCTGTGCCTGCGTTCCGCTGCCTAGGCTGCTGGAGATGTGGGGCTCAGGGGCCAGGTGAAGCTAAGAGCAGCCTGGGACCCTGGTCCCAGCTCCCTGGGACCCTGCCCTGGCCTGTCCCCCTCTCCAGCAGAAGCCTGCCCTGCTTAGCCCGCCAGCCTGGCCTGCTCTAGGAATCCTTCTCCATGGTCGGCCTCCTTGCGGGCACACACTGCGTTTGTGCAGGGGTCCGTTAACCTGCATTTGCTTCAAGGCCCGGCTTCCAAGTGCGTGGCAGTTCATCCTTTCTCCATCAGCGGCTCAGCCCCGTCCTAGCTACTTGGGGACATTCAGGTGGTCACCTTCCGGGGAGGCCCTCCCTGGTTCCAATAGGCCAGTTCTGTCCTAGGCAGTTCCGAGTGGTGGGCGTCGCTGCAGGTCCCCCGTCACAGGTCAGCCCCCAGTTCTGGTATCAGAGCGGGGAGGCAGGACAGCGCCCCCACGCGGACGGCCCTGCTGCAAGAGCTGCACTTCCCGCAGACGGCTTCTGGGAGCAGAGGGACACCTCATGGCGCGCCCTCCCTGCTCCTCCTGAAGGAAAGGCCTCCTTCCTCCCCGACCGCTCCCGCTGGCCTGCTCTCTGGCCTCCCCAAACGCCGTCAGTCCCAGACCAGAACGCCCTTCGGGCTGTCCTTCCGCAGGGATTTGGGAGCTAACTCTGCAGTCTTTGGGACCTCTTAAAACCGAAGGAGACATAAAGGAGGTGCCTGCCGCGTACCCAGGGCACACGCACCTGCTCCCGCGGACCGGCTGGCGGGAG